GTGACCCCTGTGTCTCCAGAATCTCCAGTGACCCCTGTGTCTCCAGAATCTCCAGTGACCCCTGCGTCTCTAGAATCTCCAGTGACCCCTGTGTCTCCAGAATCTCCAGTGACCCCTGTGTCTCCAGTGTCTTAAGTGACCTTTGTGCTCCTGTGTCACCCCATGACCCAATGAACATCCTATCTCACGCAGTGTCCCCGAGGGATTCCTTTCTCATGCAGTGACCCCAGAGCATTTTGTGACTCCAGTGTGCTCTGAACCTCTCCATGACCCCGGTGTCTCCACACAACCTTAGTATACTTCTGTATTTCCTGAGCTGTGTCTCCGGTCCCCTGTCTATGACAAATACATTGATTGAAATGAAAAAATCCTATGACCAGCCGCAATGTGTGTGGACACCCTATGACCAATCAGACTATCTATGGGACATTACCTGTGAAGTCTCCGGCCAGAGGTAGGTGGGTGTCAGTGAGCATCACCCGGTTCCTAGTGGATATCGGTCCATGTTTTCCCATTAGATCTCCGACCCTGCAGTGCAGGGACTCCTGGGGGCCACACCAAGACCAGTTCCCTCCCTGGAGAGAGGAAAGAAGGGAGTGGTCATCTGTGTCTCATTTCTCCATTGTACTCTCTGTGTCTCTGCCCCTCCCACACAGCGAAGGTGTGTCTCTGAGGACTCTGTGTGTCTCTGAGGACTCTGTGTCACTGAGGGCTCTGTGTGTCTCTGAGGACTCTGTGTCACTGAGGGCTCTGTGTGTCTCTGAGGACTCTGTGTGTCTCTGAGGACTCTGTTTGTGTGTATCTGAGGGCTCTGTGTGTCTCTGAGGACTGTGTGTGTATCTGAGGGCTCTGTGTGTCTCTGAGGACTCTGTGTCTCTGAGGGCTCTGTGTGTCTCTGAGGGCTCTGTGTGTCTCTGAGGACTGTGTGTGTATCTGAGGGCTCTGTGTGTCTCTGAGGACTCTGTGTATCTCTGAGGGCTCTGTGTGTCTCTGAGGGCTCTGTGTGTCTCTGAGGACTGATTTGTTCCCAGAATTTCCCTGCAGCCGGGGTGAAAATTCCGTATTATAGTCATGTGATCGGCCTGGTATCATCACCTGGAGTTGCCTTCCTCAAGTTTGGTTGATGGGCATTAGTCTTTTTCATGCTGCGTCACAGCACGTCTCTCTCACCTGATTGGGTATTTCATACGGATTGAACGTCGTTCCTCCGCCTTCTCCAGTCTGGATGGACCAGCTGAGGCTCTGCAAGGAAAATAAACCTTCAGTGAATGGAGTCTGGATGAGATCTTGACGGATTCACCATGAGACCTCTGCGGGCCTGTGTCTAGGGGGAAGATATTGTTTATTCTGGTTGGTGGGAGTATATCGGGGGAAATCCAGAAACCGCCATGTTCAGAACAAGCTCCAGAAACATGACACTGTTCATTCTCAGCCTACTTAATTGTATAGAGGTAGCGATGTTGGGCAGACCCTTCCCCCTTGACCAATCACATTTGAGGGTGATAACCTGTCAGGTGTAGGGAAAATTCCGGTCTCTAAAGTGGTTGTAGGTTATATGGACCAGCCAGGTTTTCTGACCCCAGTGTATCATCCCCATCACAGCAAGTCCAAACAAAACACATGGGGGGGGGGGTCATATATCCATTGAGCCAGTCCCTAGGCCAAGACATACCATTTGATATCCACATGGGGCTCTTAGTTCATACTATCAGGAGGAATAAATCTCATCTCCACACAAGTAATATTTTGGATCTTATGAAAGAAGTAATAATCCCGGACAGTGTGGATTGAGCTCTCCCTTCAGCTGATTGCCGTCACCAAGTCTATAGAGTTCCCCTGATTACCCCCCCTCCCCCTCCCACCCCAGCGAGGTGACAGTTGTCCATCTTTATTTATTGTCACAAGCCTATAGGGACTTATCAGGGAGTCTGAGGTCCTCATCCCTCCGGATCTCCGGGTCTATAGAGATTGTGAATTATGAACTGATGTCCATAGCACGACTCTGTATTATTATCATTCTACTTTCTATTATTATTATTATACAGGAATTATAGAGCGGCAACAGTGTGCGCAGCGCTTTACAATATAAGGAAGACATTACAATCACAATACAATTCAAGACAAGATGGTGAGGAGGGCCCTGCCCCCGAGGGCTTACAATCTAAAAGGGGAGGGGCCAGTGATACATGAGGAGCTAGCTGTGTGGTGAGGAATGGTTGAGTGGTCAGGTTGAGGTGGGATCAGCTTCCCTGAAGAGATGAGTCCTAAGGGATCGCCTAAAGGCAGTCAGAGTGGGAGATAGACGGACAGGTTAGGGTAAAGAGTTCCAGAGGATGGGAGACACTCTAGTAAAGTCCTGGAGGTGAGTATGGGAGGAGGTGACGAGGGAGCTGGAAAGCAGAAGGTATTTTGAAGAGCGGAGGGGGCGGTTAGGATGATATTTTGAGACGAGGTTGGAGATAGAGCCGGGGGCGGAGTTGTGGATGGCTTTGTAAGTGGTTGTTAATATTTTGAATTTTATCCTTTGGGCGATTGGAAGCCAGTGTAGGGATTGGCAGAGGGGGGTGCGGGATGGAAGCCAGTGGAGGGATTGGCAGAGAGGGGTGCGGGATGGAAGCCAGTGGAGGGATTGGCAGAGAGGGGTGCGGGATGGAAGCCAGTGGAGGGATTGGCAGAGAGGGGTGCGGGATGGAAGCCAGTGGAGGGATTGGCAGAGAGGGGTGCGGGATGGAAGCCAGTGGAGGGATTGGCAGAGAGGGGTGCGGGATGGAAGCCAGTGGAGGGATTGGCAGAGGGAGGCTGGGGATGGAGGCCAGTGGAGGGATTGGCAGAGAGGGGTGCGGGATGGAAGCCAGTGGAGGGA